CTGTGGGGAATTCCAACTGGGAACGATTCACCTGAAAAACAGAAAATGGATATGGCAGGCATATCATTAAGTAAGCATCAACTATGCTAAGCACTCTCTTATGATGTGCGGTTACCAAGATTTAATGTTGTTTATTCTCCTAAAATGCATATACAGGTTCTGATTCTGCTTTTTATAATTAAACTAACTAGGCAGTGTTGACTTTGGAAAGGAGAACCACATTTTACAGATAAAGACCATGAGGCCCAGAGAGAAGCAGTGATTCGCCCAAACTGTATAACAATTTGGACAACTTCATTTTCCTGGCCTCTGGGAAGACACCTAAGTTTTGGGATGAAATACAGATTGAGAAGATGTTTGATCACTGCAACCCACTGGGTTGGGCCACAGCCCATTAACCCTAGTGGAAAAAGCTTCCCTAGGCAGTCTCTGAGCCTAAGGTAAGAATCAGTATTCTAAGACACCAATGCCTCTTTCCTTCTCTGGGTCAAGGCACCTTTTTTTCCCTTTATTTATGGAAAGCCTTGCAGGGGCAGATTAACCAATAAGCAAGGTACGCAGGGGCATACTTGTGTTTACTCACTAATCTGTAGTGCAAAACGTCACATGGGTTGATGTAGTGAAACCCATGTGAAATTGTGCAGTTAATTCCTCCAGATCCCAAGGCGTGGGGTTCAGGAGCCCATACCCAACCCCATGAGCTTCTCTCCTATGCCATCTCCTTCCGGGAATGCTGTCCAGAAGGCCACCCAACTAGCAGTGGAGGGGAGTCATTTTTGACTTGGACCCAGAGCCAGCCTTTTATTTACCTGGGAAATGAATTTGACACTTCATTTTCTAAAAGGTAAAATAAACCAAAAGATGCAGTTAACATGAGCTTTTATTGCAAATCTGGTTAGAAATAGGAGAGAAGAGTGTCCATTTGGAATTTAAAAAATCAAAAACACCTCCTAGTGAAAATAAAAGTGTCCATTTTTCTGAGAAGCAAACTTTATTGTATTTCTGTTGTAACAAAAACACTGCCTGTGCTTGGGGAGAGAGGGGAGAAGCAAAAAAACCTTCTTGGTTGTACTTTTGTTCTGTCTGTAGAATTAAACAATATCCATATTCAAGAAACTGAAGATGAAAACAACAAAAACACAACAATCTTTTTATTTATGTAAATTAGATCAACACTGGACAATAAACCAATTTCTACCCATTACCATAACAGCTTGTCTATAAAGAACAGAAAAATTCAGATAGGATTCTACCTAGGGTCAAGCGGTTTTTTTTTTTTTTTTAAATTTTTTAACCACTCATTCACAGAGGTATAGATTCACAGATAAATAATCCCAAACTACTTGCTCGCCATATTTACACATTCCCATTAAATTAAGCATAAATAAATATATACAAACTTAACATGGATATCCTCCAGAGCTCTTCTCATGAAGAGTCAATAGACTGATATTTCTTGATTGTGTGGCAAAACAATGTTAGTGAATTAGAGACCAACTCAAAAGAGGAGCCAATTTTGGCATTTAAAGACAGATAATGTTCATTCCACTTGTGAAAGAAAGAAAAAACCCCGAATTTTGATATTTCTTCTTTTTCTACCCCAATAGCTTAGCATACATCAGCACAGAAAAGGGAACCGTGTGTGGGCTCTTGAAGCAGCATCAGATGGTTTAAGGTTATTCCCTTTACCCATAACGTATTACACATAGAGGATATCTGATGTGACGACCAATTCTCTATAAACACTCTAACTAGGAACGCATTGCCCTTTTAAGCAAGGCTTTGTACTGGAGGAACAGTGTGTAGATAAGTTTGGGGTTTCAGGTTTTCCATTTGACCAAAGTTTTCACAGGATATGAAATAATTGCTTGAGAGAAAGCTGTTACCTTGGCCAAAGAAAATAAAACAACCAGGTCTTTGAAAGCCTCTTCGGTTCTTTACATGGGGGTGGAGGGAAGCTAAGGATGTGGAGGCCAGAGAGAAGGAAAGAAAATGTAAGATGATTGGTGAGGGAAGAAGGCTACCTTCCCAGTACCTGAGAGAAGTTGAAAATCCCTTCGATGTTGGAATCCTCTCCCAGAACAGTCTTTTCCTTGCTGCCCTGAGACCCACAATAAATGTACCGGAGTGGTCAGGAGACCTCCAAAGAAACTTCCCAAGTGGAAAGTCCGAGGGCAACGCTGCCAATCCTGATTCCTTCTACCTTCAGCTATTCTGGCTTGGGATCAGCATTAAAGAACGGGGTGTGGAAGTACGCGGGGCATGGTTAAAATGTCTAAACAGTTTGGGGTAGGGGGAGAGCGGCTATCCACCTGTTTGGTTTGAAAATAAAGCTCAAAAGGACTCGCCTTAAACGTTTCCCTTGACTTAAAAGGCAAACTCTCGCGTTAATCCTACTGTTTATTGATTTATGGGCCCAAGGAAACCAAATCTTTTAATAACTCAATTATCAGATAAACGTAGCTGGCCTGGCTAACGAAAGCAAGAGGGGTGTGTGTGTGGTTCCTACGTGAAAGGAGAAGCGGGGGGGGGGGGCGGTAATAAGGGGGCTCTATCCACACGGAGGAGGGGAGGTAGGGATGGCGGCGCATAAGGCTCTATCTAGCTGGAGCGCAGGAGGACTGCACGAGTGAGAAAGAAGGGAGCCTGCAGAACCAAGCAAGACAATTCCCATCCTATCATCCGCCTTTAGAAGCGTTAGGGTTGAGACAGATGCCTTTTTGGCAGAGGCGGAGGGAGCTTCCAATAGGTACCCTGAACCTTTCCCGGCTGCGCTGCGGGAATAAGTGCCCGGGGAGGCCGCTGGTAGCCTAGGACCTGGGCAACCCTGGGACCCCTCCCTGGGCAACGCCGCCCCGTTACCTACTGGAGAATGGGGCTTTCTCGGTCGCCTTAGCCCTTAGGGTGAGACCGAGAGCGGGAAGGGCCTGCGCGGCCGGCGGCCCCTCCAGCGGCTGATTCTATGTCCTCAACACGACTGGGCCCGAGTGGCCCACACGCTCACAGGACCTGCACAGTAAGAGCAAGGCGCGTCCATCACGCCTCTCGCACGTCACACGCGTGGGGCGCGTTGCCCTGCAAGGAAAGGAGACGATGGTTTTCAGTGTGGTTTCTCCCGGCCTGTGCAATTAGAACACACCTAATGCAAGCGGCCAGGCCCTTGGACAAAGGCGAGGGCTTCTAAGCTCGGGAGAGATGGGGTGTCTATGCTCTCCCCGGCCTTTGCACTGCTCACCAAATGTCTAGAGCTTGGGCCCTGCAGACCCGCGGGCCCCAAAGGAGCCAGGGATAAAGAATGGGGTGGGGCATATCTTTAACGGGACCCACTTGGTGACCTGAAACCAGGTCCCTAACCCTCAGCCCCCCCACTCCAAATGTCTGTGCCATGCTCCCAGCAGATTTCTAAATCTCACCCCCACCCCCATCCCAAGGTCAAGGCCCATCCAAGGTGGCAGAGCTGCAGGATCTTAGTGGGTCCTAATAGTAAATCTTGCAGAACATCAGGATCTTTACCCTCAACGGATGTTGCAAAGGTCCTTACTGTCTACTTTGTTTAATGAGGTGCCTGTAACTACGCTCAATGATTTCCTACTTCCGACTTTTTTTTTGGGGGGGGGGGCAATGGGCTCCAGATTTTATTTCATAATAATGCTCAGATGGAGCCCGAAAAAGAAGCTTGACTGCCAGAAGTGAGAGATATTAAATGCATGGAACTTTATCCAGTGGGAATAGCCCCAGTGCATCCAGACGGTAAAATTCAAAGCTCAAATACATCTCCTTTCACTTTGCATTATTTTACCATTATATGCCAAAACAAGTGCACGTCTGGGGCAGAAAAAAAATGCCTCATTCATAAAGCATCTTGTAAGAAAGCAATTATTGCAGAAACACAGGAGCCTGCACCACCCTTCTCCCCATTGCCCACTCCCAAAGCTGTTTCTTTCTCCCTTAAAACAGCATTCACCGGAGTCCACGGAAATCGAATCCATCTTAAAGGTAGGACAATATTGCTAGACTATTGGGCTCCAAGAACCCATACTCTTCTCCTTCCAAATTTACGTTGCAGCCCTCCCACCCCACAATCGTAATTTCAGTGTTGAGGTTATGTTACCAACTAGATTCAAAGCTCCTTCCATCTCATATTGGCCACTTTCTAAATTATTCCCTTTGAGCTTCTTTAAAGAAGTGCACCTGCAGAATTCTGACACACAGGCTTTGATTAAAAAGGGATCAGTTTTTTGTTTTGTTTTTTTTTCTCTGTACCTTATAGATTGTGTAGGAAGCCCAAGTCCTCTTTGAAGAAGCTCATAAACCATGCGGGCAAAGCTTTGGAAAACAGAAGAGAATGAAATGGTACATACCCCTCCGAAGGAATTACATACTAATCAACGTATTCATATTGTATTTTTTTTACTGTAGTTCTTAAAATTGGTAGATGACACAAATATTATAACAAATGCAAGATTCTCTGTATGCAGATGCTGGCAAGGCTGGGAACTAGTAACATTTCTGAAAGGAACTGATGATGAGTCTGAATAAACTTATTGGTCCGGATTTTCCTCAGCCGCCGGAGCCTCTGTTTGGTCCGCACCAAAAGCTGAAGCCACCGCCTGCATCTCCGAGGGCCTCCCGCCCCGCCCGCCCTTGCCAGCCCTAATTATTCAAATGGCCAGGGAGCTGGGAACTGGTATGTTAAGAAGGGTGGGGTGGAGCGTGGAGGTGGGGAGGGTACCAAGAAGACTGAAACACAGTACAAAAGTGCCTAACCACACTCATTTCATCCCGGAAGATTCTCGCAACAGCTCAGGAAGGGAGGGCAACGTAGAAAAGGATGGCTGGGAGAGGAATGAGGTGGGGTGGAGGGGCGGGGACTGCGAGAGAGTTTCCTAAAAAAAATATTAAAAATTAAAAAGTTCGTGCGTCTCAAACAGCTCTCAAAGCACTGACACCAACAATGTTTCTCCGATTTTCTTCCAATAAATTAGTGTTTTCTCACGTTTAGTCTTATGTTTATTTTCCAAAGAGGGGGAACCATGATTTTCTTTTATTATCAGTATGACTAAGCTCGAAAGAACCGAAGTGGAAAATCCTGGCGGTTGTCTCCAAATGTATCTTGAAATAGACACTGAGAACCAATATTGTTGCTCCGTTGTACGCCTCAGTTTGTTTTTTTAATGTTATTTAGCTTTCTTTCTTTTTTTAAATTTTGATTGTATGTGTATTCTACCTAACATAATTCTTCCAAAGCCAATCCAATATTTTAAAGCTAAAATTAATTTTTTTTGTTTCCTTTTATATTTAAAACTTTTTTTCCTTCTCATTTTTTTTTGTTTTTTTTTTTTAAATTTTTTCATTTCCTGTGTTTCTCCTCCTTGTCGCCAGTTTTACTACCTGGGCCTTCCCCAGACGTGTGCCTGTTAGTGGTGGTGTTGTTCAAGAACATCTTGTCCATGCCTTTGAGCGCCTCGGTGAGATAGTTCTGCAGGGCAGTGAGCGCGGCGCAAATGGCAGGGGCGCCGAAGCCGTGCGTGATGAGGCTGAAGTGCGTGAGGCAGCTCTGGATCCCCGGCTCCAGGATAGGACTGGGCCGGCTGTTCCCGATCGGTGTCCGGTCCTGCGCCAGCAGATCCGTAAATTCTTTACAAAGTTGCCTGCAAGGAGAGTGAGAGAGAAACAGAAAATCACCCTCAGTGTCGTTGACACTGGCATTAGAAAGAAGACATTCTCACAAGCCCAGAAGCGCCCCGCACCGAAGAACCGAAAAGTAAGGCTAATGTGGGCGATTCCGCTCTGTTTGCTTCCCCAGCGCTCTCCTTTCCAGAGCAGCTGGGACTGGAAGGCAGGCGGGGGTGGAGAGGTAAAGCACGCCTTCCACCTCAAACCCCCCCCCCCCCATTCTTTTCCTTTCCGTTCTAGGGCCTCACAGACTCCGCTTTGGGAAATTTGCCAGGCTTTAGAGTTTGATTTTGAATATTTAATAATTTTGAGCTTTTACCCGGCATTTCTTTTTAAGGCTCCTTTCTTCTCCTCTCCCCTGCCTCTCCAGCCTCTCCAGCCTCTTGGTGATCAGAGGCAAAAAGCCCTGAAAGATTTAGGCCCTTCGGCTACAAGCCTGTCCCTGGCACAAGAGCAGATTGTTTGAGCCTTGCATAGCCCAGGGCAAGCAACTGTTTATTCCAGGAGAGAATGCTGAGTCCATTCAAAGCAAAAATCCGTTTACCTGCAGTATTGGCAAGGGGGGTGGGGGGGAAGTGGTTTCTTTATTTTAAGTGTAGGCTACTGGAAAACCTTTGTACAACGGGGTTGTTGTCAATATAAAATGGTTCCCACAACTGTTTAAATAAAACCTAACGATATATGGTTAAGACACTGGGGAGGGTAGATTTTTATTTGTTGAAGGTTTTTATTTCCTCAAGGCACCTAGAATTCAGAGGAATCTCCCAGCCTTAGAAATCCTGCATGCCTAGCTATAGATTGGGCTTATTTGAGAATTTTTAATATGGGAGGGGGAGGGAAGGGTTTTAGCCCTGAAGGTCAATCAGTTTGGCTCTGCTGGTGGGCAAAGGATCCCAAAGACCACAGTCTTTCACAGACTGGCTGACATCTCCTGTCAGCTTGCCTCCATCCAGGCCTGGGGGGCAAACCATGCCAGCCCCAGAGCCCTGATGGGATGGCCTGGCAGACGCATGGCAACACCTGGCCTGTCCAATAAGTAAACAGAGCACATGCCTAGAGGCAAATGCCGGGGACCCTGGGTGTGCATTCCAAGAGCGCTGACACTTCAGGGAGCAGTAGCGGTTAAACCAGATGGGAGATACCTCCTTCCTCCCTGGCCCCCCTAGCAGCTGTAAGGTTGTTGGTTTTAGGGCTGTTGAGCAGAGAACATTAACAGGTACCCTCTCTCCACCCTCTGGTTTCTCATTTGAAATGCACACATGCTCACAACCAGGAAGAAACAGAGGTACTAGTTTGGACCTAAGTAGGGCAGTTCTTAGAGGGTACTTCAGAATCCACTGTGGCATTATGGGGCAAGTGGGAGAGCTGTTTTAAATACACACACTCAGGCCCCACCTCCAGTGATCCCGATTCAGGAGATTTGTGGCTAGCTAAACCCAGGCATAGATACTTTGAAAAAACTCCCTAGATGATGCTGATACACATTCCAGGTTAAGAAGTGCTTGCCTTAGAGAAGCCCCAAGGTTTCAAAGGGGTGGGGTGCAGTTATAAGCAACCCTTAGGGAAATGACAGAGTAATTTGTGGAATCCTGTTATCTGATTTATATACTTTGTTGTTGTTTCCAAATTCCCCCTTTCTCTTCTATAAAACACCAACAGGTCCCCAGCCACCAGAGTGAAGATAGACGGGCAATCTACTGACAAAGATCTATTTTATTGCTAGTTGGTACATCTGAGGAAAACCTTCTAAAAAGAGGAAGGGTGTTGGGTTTTGATCGTTGGAAGAGATGGTTAAAGTGTTCCCTTCAGTTTGTAGTCATTACTAAAGTGCCAAAAAAGGAAATTCTGAACTGGAGAGAACAAATGCTTACAGTCAAACATTTTAAATCTTCAAAGCCCAAACCAGGGTCTGTAAGCAATTAAAGTTCTGGGACATTAATATTTTTTGACCCTGCGGAAAGGGGCCATCAAATTCCAATCACGTCTCAAAAACATCTGGACAAATTTGAGCAAATGATTTTTCAGCCTTCCATATATTTCTTTAAATTACGCTGTCAATGGAACAAACCGCGTCCTCAAGCACTAGATAAATGAGCGCCGCTGTTTGGGCGGCACCCGCGAGAGAAACGTGCGGGTGCACGCAGTGCCGCCCACTGCAGGCCTGAGCCGGCCATAAAACACCAACAATATGACGCCGAAGCCAAAGAGAGGAGTAAATCAAATAAATAGAAAACCCACTGTAAAAGTTCAAATGAGCTCTAGACCTAAATTTAGCCAGAGATTTACTATTTTCGCCTCTGGAGTGGTAGTAAATTTTACAAGTCTGTGGAAGATGACAAACAGCAACGTTAGAAACGGAGTAATTAGAGCTGTGGGTAGAGATGGGTGCACGTGGATGACATATAGATACCCTGAGCGTGCACATACGCCTGTGTGGCTATGACAGGGAGACAGATGTGAAACCCAGACAGAAATATGCACCTAGGGGCCCAGGGAAGAGCTAGAACAAGGACCCGCCTCGAAAAGGTCTGCCTAACAATTCTGGGGTTGAGGAGGAGAACTACCGCTGGTCACTCCCACTGAGCTCACACACTTCTCTGTCCCCCAAAGGAAGCCTGAGCTGCTCCTTCCATCCCGCCTCCTCCCACGCGGTGTGGCCCAGTGTGGTGGGAGGCAGGGAGGAGCGCCAAGGGTCTGGGGCACTCACTTGGTGGCCAGCAGCATATTCTTTCGAGAGTGCAGGTCGCTGGGGTCCGTGTGCTGCCGGTTTAAATACTCGGAAACAGCTTTGGCGGGAAACTCCGTTTCGCAAATGTACCCAAAATCCCGAGCTAAGTGAACAGCTTCTCCTGAAAAGACAGCAGTGGAGGTGATCATCAGCACCCAGTCTCTAAACACCCCAGGGCAGGCGACCCTCCCTGGCCAACTCTCTTAGTATTTACAGAGAGGCAAAGGTGTGACAGATGCTCAAATGAAAAATAGTTCTCAGGCTATAATTCAAGTTGAAAGGACAGACCGCCTGCCCTTTTTCACAGCCTCTCCCTGACCATCCTTCCAGCCACGTCACAGTTTGGCATCCCCTGAATAGCTTCCAGGTCTCCCTCACCCCAGACTTTGTCTTAAGGGAAAAGTAAGCTGATAAATTCAGGATCCCCCTTAAAACTAAACCTAGACTCTCAGGTAGATATTCAAGCTAGATTCTCCTTCTTTTGAAAGCATCTGTTATACCTGCTTTAAATAAAATTTAAACGTTATCCCCATTCTCCTGTATCTGTATTAAGAAAAATATTGTATTAATAACTAATATGTATCAACATAAATTCATGTGTATATATGTCCACATATATTAAAGAATATATTAAAGAATACCCAGCACTGAAATGATTATTCTCCTTGTCAGTTTTCCTGCTAGTCAGGTTTCAGGTTTCTCCCCTTCAGAGGTTCCTGTCATCATCCTCCCACTTAAGGACTTTCTACAACACAAAGATGACACAGCAGCTATTGAAAATCTGAGCATTTGAGGGATTCCTGAGCTTATGTGGAAGCCCCTTTCGAATAAAGAATTATAACCCTTTAAAGCACAGCCCTAGGGGCATGGGGGAAGATCTCAAACACGAAAAACAGATATCTTGAATTATCCCATAGATACATTACTTTTAAGGAGCATGACTTACTTTTTAGTCAGCATTATCATAATAACAACAAAAGACTCCAGGCATGGTGTTTACAGAGATTCATCAAGCTGAGAACTGCCAACCAAATATTGGAATTTCAGTGGGTTTTCCCATTACTTTACTTTTCAGCCCAAATATCTGTCTTGGACTGAGACTACCTTCCCTTCTTTTCAAAATGAGGACTGGGATATTAGCAATTCCCTGAAGGGCAAAAAGTGAAACCCCCAGGCTGAGAGTCAACCGCTAATAAGTATGGTCTGGAAATTCAGTGTCTGCTGCTAACTGGAGTGTAGGTTTGGGCCAGGTAACTTTGCCTTAGAAATGACAAAGTGCAAGGCCTATAACCTATGACTTTATGGTTGCTGCTTAAATATTCAAGATTCCCTCCTCCAAAATCAAGTCTGCACAGGAGTGCCATAATATTACGTCCATAAAAATGGAAGGGGGGAAAAAAAAAAAAAGACCTACATGCTAGACCCTAGAGAAAATTCTACAACCTTCTCCCTTAGGACCTTCTGGCTGTATTTCCTATCCTTTCTCTATTCCACACGTTCACCTGCAGATCCTCTTGTTCTAAACTGTGTAGTCAATCCTGTTTATTACACACCATAAATATCATTCCCTGCCCAAAATTGATGAGAAAATTAGAATGTGCTTATTACGATTATGGCGCTTTAATTCACAACTGATGAAACTGTATTAAAGATCATACCTGGATCTCCTCCATGATTCCTTAACCACTACCACCCCTATTTTCTCCCAGGCATCATTGGCTATTAAGCTATACCTCAGTAAGTCCCAAGTAATCAGCTGATAGAGCCCAGGGAATGACATGAGTTTTATAAAATAATCATTCTACAATAATAGTTTCATAAATAGTGTGTTTTCTAGTACTGGCGATTCAGAAGTGCAATCTAGGGAGGGGAAGGGGTACAGAATGCATTGTTGCTTACAGAGTTATCCTTGCAAAAGTTCAAACAGAGGGTGCATCAGCGGTAGAGGTCACCCCTGAACTGGCCAGAAGCTGGAGCTGAGCACTCTTCAGAGCACAGGGACCCTTGCAAGTGTCCTTAGCCACCCTACAACTGCCAGCTCCCTCTAAGTATAAGGACCTTTGAACTTCTCTCAAGCAGCCGCTTGACATCCAACTCATAAGGGCACAACAATCGCAATGACTTCCTGTTAATCATGAAACGTGTAAAACGTCAGCCTTCAGCCAACAGTTAAGCTCAGCGCCTTCGTGAAATGGCTGCGCGTCTTGCTTACCTTCCACCAGGGATGTGAGTAACGTGACATTTGCCGCTTTGCGCCTGCCCGCGGGTAAATTCAAACCGATTTTTTCTAGCCTTTCTCGCAAAGATCTCCCCCCATTTTTCGATTTGGCTCTGAAATTGCAAGAATTAACATTCTGATTAACCTCAGAGTGTTCCTGAAACAAAGTTTAGACATAGCAATCTAAAGCCCAGTGGAGCTTGAAGGGGTTTTAACTTGAGGTTAGCACATTCCCCCCCCCACCCCCTTCGTTTTGGTTATTTGCTGATAGTTTGCTGAGGTTTGCTTAATTTCTGCAATACAGAGCATAAAAAAAAATTAGTCATTTTCTTTTTTTTAATCTCCTGATTAAAAAAAAAAAAAAAAGACACAAGATGGGAATAATTAGGGTATAGGTTTTGGGTCCAGAGAAGGTAAAAAAAAGTTGCACATGCAGACAAACACTTTTTTTTTTTTCAATGCACTCAGTGTGAAGAGCAAAAACTGGGCAAGCACAGCTTGGCTGAAAAGAGGAAAGGAGCTGGTGGCTCAGAGAAAACAAGGCACTTGCTGAAACAGGTGGACTCTGAAGAAGGGGCCAAGAGTCACTATATAATAGAGTTTGGCTAAACATCCAGGGGGTGATTGAAAGGAACTTCCATATCTAGGCTCGACAGAGTTGAAAACTGAACCAAAGCAGAGGGGAACAAGAAGAGTTAAAATGAGAAAATCTGGGCAAAGTATAAGGTGGGGGTGGGGGGTGGGGGGTGGGGGGGAACTGTTCCTGTGTCCTTTCTCGTGGTCCTATTCACACAACCACTTTTAGTAAAGAAGGCGACTTTTAACCCCCAAACTTGGATGGGTTATATTGGAAAGTTTGTCCTGTAAAGTCACCTTCACACCAGGGACACTGCCAAAGGGCTTAGGAGGTGGAAGGGACTTTTTGAGAGGCTTTAAGTAGTAAAATAAAACCCAGGTCCTTCCTCATTTTCCCAGAGGAGTTAATGGATTGTCTTCCTTCAATATTAAAGAACATCTGAATGGTCCCAAGCAATTACTATTGATTATTTATACAGTGGTATTATTGGTATTATTAGTGGTCGTGGTTGTTATTAAAGGGGGGAGGCCACAAGTCTAGAACAGAGTTTTTCAAACTGTGGGCACAATGCATTAGTGGATGGTGAGACCAACTTAGTTGGTCATTGATTTTAAAACATATGATAAAGTAGAGAAATATTTTAAAAAATTTTTTTTAAATAGCGTGCACTGAGGGTATTGAAGGGGTTGTTTCAAGAAAATTCTATTTTAGTAAATGAGTGTGTAAGGTCTGGAACGCACTCTTGGGTTTAAAACTGTGGCTCTCAACAACAGAGTCAAGGCCTGTAGGCTACAGAACACTCTCAAGCTGTCCCAGGGGCAGAACAGAGCAGCGGGCGATAGGCAGAGAATGTGGAACCGTCCAAGGGTCGCAAAAGCAGCAGGACAGCGAGGCTGCGCGTGCGCGGCGCGGAGCCGCTGGGTGTAGGTCTGAGGGCGGCGGCATTTGCGCGCGCGGCCCCGAGCACGTGGCGGCCGCAGCACCCCGCACGCGCTGCGCAGGGGCATTGCTCCCGCTGCCCGGTTGCTAGGCAACCGCGTCGTGCTTAGCTTTGGGCTCGCAGGAGCCATTCCCCTTCAGTAAAACTGGAGTTGGTTTGGGGGTTATTACCTTCTGAGGACGCCGCCGAGGAGAGACGCATTGAGGCATTCGGGGGGCGAAAGCCGTCTCTGAACTTCCCCCACAGTTACTTTGTACTTTGAAGTTGAACTAAGCAGAGACAAGCGGCCTGGGACTGAGCAAAACACCTCTCCAGTGTTGACCGACATCCCTCCGAGGAAGCCGTCTTTATTCATCATCAGAGAAGTCACAGATTTGGGAGGAACCGGAACTAGAGAGAAAAAATAGAAAATATACCATAAAGGTGACCGAGTTTCCATCCTGGTGACCGGTTGATAGAATGTGTCAGTGCGTGCGCAGGGCGAGGCCTCGGGACAGGCTCCAGGTGGAAAGCTGGGGGAGGAAGTTGTTTGTTCCCATGGGGCTGCAGTGCGTTCACAGCGCTGGATACAAACAAACGGAAAAGCCATCACTGCTCTGGAAACTTACTCCATGTGTGCAGGCATATGGGTGTCGTTCGCCACAGCCTCACTAACTACACAAATCAAGACAACAACCCGGACCTTGAATTGTGCTGTGAAGCCGGACAAATTCTGTGCCATCACGTGGTAGCTGTGTGACCTTGGACACCTTAATTTCTCTGAATCTTAGTTTCCTTATCTGTCACCTGAGGATAATAATAATGTCTTTCTCATTTGGTGCTGAAGCCCAAAGGTGATTATTTCATTCAATGACATAAAATGGTAATAACGATTTTCTTTATAGAAACCCCTCCTTCTCTCCTATCGGACCAAAATCAGTGGTCCTCTTCTTACCAGAGAAGACTAGGAGGGTGGGTCCCTTCAGGTACCCACCAAGTAATACCACTGAGCTGGGAAGCTGGGCCCAAAAGAGCTGCTCATCTCTTTAAAGTGAGTCCTATTCTTTCCTGCATAGTAACAACAGATGCATTTAGAAATGAACCAAAAGCTTGTCTCTAGTGATAGCAATTCTGCAGTGACATGAATTTTGTTTACAAATTAACGTAAAGTACCGGCTGGTGATTGTTTGGAGCAGTTATGATTTACAACAGGTGCCCTGATCAATCAAGCAATCACTTTAATTCATATGAGCGGCGCTCTTGCCTTGCCCCAGTTGTTTCATTTCGGCAAGTAATTGATAACAAACCGCACTCAAGGTATGTTTTATGCAGAAGTTAATAAGAGCTGACAGCTGGTTGCCACTGCTACCCAGGCGCATTCAGCCTCTCCAGCCTGTATTTCTGTTTAATTGCGTTTCAGTGTCATCTGCACGTCAGGAAGAGGCGGGGCTCAGTGGAACCAGAAGGCTGGGAATGAGGAACAGTGAGCGGTCAACCTCCCAGCTCCCCTGGCGATCTTGCCTTTCAGATTTCTCTACTTCCCAAGCCCATTTTCTTTCTGTAGGCCCTAAAGCCACTGGAAGGTGACTTCTCCTCCTGACTTGCCCTACATCTTATTTTTTTTTCCATTGGGATACGTAGCTCCCAAATCTTCAGTGTCTGTTGATCACCAGTCCAGGGAATCTGTTGAAACACGCATCTGGCGTGAAAAATAAGGCTGCTGTTTCTGCCCCTTTAATAAAGACTCTGTCCCACCCTATAACTCTGGTAGTGGAAAGATACGCTCTTCGTACCATCTGGGGTCAAGAATCCTATATGGCAGACAAATTGCTAATTGCATTTTGTATGGAACACTAACCAATGCTGAGTATATTTATAACAGCTTATTCTCCTTACTACAGATTTCAGCATTCAAACCTCCAAGATACTTTAAAGAGACTCCTAATAGACAGGTAGGCTTCAAATCTTATATGAACCTTATATGGATTGCAATTGGCTGTTTTCAAACACCTTGTGGAAAAGGGCTTTCCTAGTGGAGTGGATTGAGGGACTGAAGCACTCTTTTTGCTATTTCTTGGTAGATATTTTCAGGTCTCTGGATCCTTCCACAGAAGCCAAGCCGTTGTCCCAGGCAGATTGATGAATGATGTTAACAAGTATATCTTCTGCAGTCTTAGGTGGGCACTAAGAGGAGGTTTTCCTCTTTGTGATTCCCTTCATCATGTTTGCATCAATGAACCTGCTTCACATTTAAGAGTGAGCCAAAGAAAAATTTCAGTGTGCGTATTAAGCAGATTTGAGAATCAAAAGCACTGAAGTTAAAGTGACTTAACAGATGGTGATTGGGGTGGGAACACAAGATCCACATCTATTTTAATCAGTCGTATTCTTCACAGCAGTTCTGATTTCCATATTTCAGATTCATATTCAAGGCACCATAAACGAATAAGATCGTGGAAACTGGCATTAGGTAGCCGTGGAGAAACTTCCCCAAGATGTAGATGGCCCTTTGTAGTTCTGACATGGAGTGAACTATAGAAATCAATTGTAAAAAAATTTCATCCTTGATACTCAGTAATTTTTTTTTATCTTTAGAAAATGATTTAGAGAGAATATTTTAATAACAGTAACAACAAAAAACCCTACTAAGCTGAAAATACTAAATTCACTTCCTGCTTCCCACACTGGATAACTAAACATCTCCTGAGGATTGGAATTTTACCTGCTTCTCACAGTCCCAGATGCCAAATTTCTTGAAAAGCCAGGCCTTTTGAGACACTTTATAACCTGCCCTCTAATTTCACAATTGTTAATTGCCTGATCTACCTGACAAGAGTTGTTTCCTTTTGCTCCCTCCCAGGAGCTGTACCTCTCTGCATATAGATTATCACCTAGATACCACCAATCCAGTCAGCTTGTGTCAGCACACTGCTATCTGGGGGGGAGTTTTGTGGGGTTTTTTGTTTTTTTTTTTGTTTTGGTTTGTTTGTTGTTCTTCCAAAGACACAGATTATTAGAGCAGATGAACTTCTGATGATATTTCTGTTTTCTAACTTAAGTATCAGAACCCTGGTCCCACTCTCTGTCCTGTCATCCCAGGTTCTAAACATGTCTCCTACTCTAGCCCTGGTATTGATCCCCTAGACTAGACCTTACACATTTCTTGTTCCAACTTTCCTTTAAGTCCATTGCTCCATTATTACCTACTTTCCCCTCCACTCTCACACCTGCTTAGCTCAGCTGATTAGCCCTAAATTTTATTCTCTTTGTCTTTTCCCTTCTGCTTTCCTCCAGCTTATCAATAAACCGAGAGAGCAACAGGGCCCGGTTGATTTGTTAGTAATTATGAGCACACTGTTCCTGCTCACAGAACCCAAAGATGACGGAGATAGGTTTGAAGCGACAGCAGGAAATGGTAAGGAAATGGAGCATAGAGAAACTCAGCGTGAAGCTTTCAGTTCTTTACATGTTTACAATTTTCTGTGTATACATTAAAACTGGGTGGCTCCCCCCCTTTTCAGTTCTCAGTTGGATGGCATGGCCAACTTCTGGTTGTAAAGCACCCACAAATCTTACTCCCCTCCCCTTTTCTCTGCGTCATGTTGGGGAGAAGGGAAAAAAAAGGTTTAACAACCGATCAATATTTCATTACAGTGACTGGAGTTTTATTTAAGAGAAAGGAAGGAAAATGATTAAGAAAATATTATTCATTAGTGGACTACATAGATCCAAATTGTTAATAGGCTAGCTCTTCATTTCTACTCTTTAAACTTTAAGTGGGGAATCGTAGCTTTGAGATCTTTGTGTCTGACTGTGGGTCTGATTTGCTGGTGGAGAGAAGTGAACCCACCTTGTAGATTCAAGGGGTAAGTCCCTCTGAAATGCACACTGACTTCAAAATAAATACGTCAACTACATTCGACAGCCATCAGGAGGTTTAACATTGGTTCAGAGTGGCCTCCGAAGTTGAAATCATTATCTTTCACCACCAGAGCACCCCTTTTGTCACAATTGCATAATTTCTCATCTATCTGAAGGCTAAATTTTATATCACTTGCCTAGCATATGTATAAAAGTGAGCATTGAGATACTGGAATGAAAAATAAAAGGATTCTCACAAAGGAAGGTAAAATGTAAAATCAAACTACAAACATCTAGTGTTGGCATCCTTTAGGGGAAATGTCTAAGAGTGGAAACTGAGTTGAATTTCATCACTTACTTGCTGTGTAGAACCTTGAGAACATCATTTGTCTTCTCTGTGCCTCAGTTTCTATACTCTGGGGACTGGAGAATAGTGTCCAACCTTTCCAGTTTCAAATTCTATGAGCTCTCATCACTCCCTGTGGCTGGAATGTATCTCAGGGTCTTTTTTTTTTTTTTTTTTTTCCTTTCTGAGTTTTCCCGAAACAGAGTTGTATCCAAGTGTTTGTCTTCAGTTCCATTGATACTGTTCATACACTGCAGTCAGAAAAACTCAGGGAACTAAAAACAAAATCAGAAAAAAAATTTTTTTTTTTTTTTTAACCTTCTAAATCAGAATCCCACAGAATCCATTGTAATTGAAATTTGGCAATTTCTTTATTTCCCCAGAAAGAACATCCACACCAATCAAAGTGTTTATGTGGGGAAGGGGCCAGAACTAACGGAAAAAAAGTGGGAGAGAACCAAGGTTGAACTGAAACTAACCAAACAGGATATCCCTCAGACCAATGAAAATGCCCCACAGTCACAACATTTGAACCTTGGACTTCAGCCATGCTAGCCTTTCCAAGAAATCCCAGCATATTTTCTGCTGTCTAAGGTGTCAAACAGATTGTACATTGGCCTCTGACAGCACCAACAACGTTTTCTTAAAGCCTAGGTGAGTCTTTTTTTTTTTTTTTAAGTTAGGTTGTATGATGGTGGCAGTGATCATTTATATTAGCTGGGCACCGCCCCCCCCCTCAAGATTCCTAATCTTAATGGAACTGAGAGTTAAGAATGATTTTTTAATGTCTCGTTGGATTTTTAGACTGTTAATGTACCGCATCCTTCTCATTATTACTTTATTGATTGCTCATTGACCAGCCCCCTTCAAATCGTATTAACCACCCTCTGCCGGTTTAGATTAGGAGAGTTTAAAAAGCACCTTTCATTATTTCCCAACTCCTGCCATGGAGTTGAGACTCGGCAGCTTAATGGGAGCTCTAATGGGGCAGCTAAGAGGAGAGGGGCCACGGTCCCTGCCGATTGCATTAATAGCTCAAAGGGGGCCAATACAGAAAATTAGCCGTAAACGAGCTCTGGAGATCTTCAAATGAAAGAGCCATTTATCACGCTGGCTACCTTCACTCCACTCGTTTGCTCTCTCTACTGGGAACAACTCATTTCCTCTTAACTAAATTACTTCAGAAATGTCAGCTAAGCCCAGATAGCAAACATAACAAGAGAGGGAGCCTATAATCTATGGGGTGATATCAACGTGGGTGAAAAATTGGACTGGTTAAATTTTAGGAGGGGCATCCTGCCACAAGTGGAGAGGGAGACAGAGAGACAGAGACATATACTCTCATGTCCAAGTCTTCTGACTTCATAAACAGGCAGAGACTCTCAAAGCCCGGCCAATTGCTGGCCTTTTATTAATAAGGTAGAATTTTTTTTTTTTTAATGAAACCTCTCTAAAAGTCCATTAGAAAATAAATTAAGCAACAGAGTCCCCTGCCAGTTGTTGAAATGTAGAATACATAGTTCAGAAAACTTTCTCACCTCCTCCTTTACCCAGTTAATCTTTTGGAAACATCCCTCATAAAGGTTGGAGGGAGGGGACGAAGATGGGAGATAAGAGGGCAGGGAAGGGGCTAATGAACCCATAACCTTATTTTAAGTGGTTCATAGTGATTTAGAAAAATAAAATCAACCATTTATTCCCATTTTGCCCATGGCTCTGTAAAGATAAAAATGTGATATTAGGATCCTTTCTTCAGATAATAAAGCAGATATCTCAGATATTCACTAATGGAGTTGACCTAACATTTCATATTCATACCATGCCCCCTGAATCAGTTAAAGTGACTGTGTGCCACTTAGATGTTTTAAGCTCCACAATGTCTGAAAAAAGCTTTTGGGGGCTCAATGATTGGGCATATCCCACTGCCAGCCCAAATGATGTTGCTAGGATACGGAACCCTGAGCTATGGGGTTCTAGCTTTTCGGGAAAAGGGAAGGAAACTAAAACAAAACAACAACAACAGGACAATGGAGAAGCTTCTCCCACCTCTCCTCCCAAATCACCCAGCAATTAACCAATAGAGAAGACCCAATAGGAAATGGTGAAAGCGAGCTGTGTGCTTAGTTGCAAGTCTAAGCACTGAACCTGGGTGCCCCAGCAGTTTTAGCTGACATTAAAAGCTGAAAAGATACTATCTAAAGAAGAGAGGGAGAGATGTTTGGAGCAATACATAAAATGAGTAGTTTCATAGCAAACCTCACATTCCAAAGCCAAATGGCATAATTTCAAGTTCAGATCCTCCTCCCCTCCTCCATCCCTCTGCAAAGCTACTCTTTCTCGCTTTGTAAAATAAGAAAATTTAGAATACTTCACCTTGTTTGGAATCCTTACTCCACAACCCCCTTACTATCCCAGCTTGATTCTGGGTCACTTTCCAAAACATCTTTTCATCGTTTTTGTGAATGTCACTTGGCTCAAATGAATAATAAATGACTGAATGTGGGGATTACTGACATCAGACATAAGGACAGGCCTTCTCCAGCACTGCTAATGAAGAGTTACAGTAGTTAAAATTGTATCTCCAAATACCAGTCCTGTGATAATTGAAGATTGCACTGCTTACACATTGAAGCTCCTAAATTTGTGGCATGTGAGTGACATTCAGGCCTATCAGCAGACACACTAATCGCCAAGCATTCTCTCGGTGACTGTCAGAGAAGGGGGGAAAAATTAAGCAGCTGCAATACGCCCGAAATGAGTTATTGTAATTACATTTAATTAGTTTAATTAGTTAATTATTTTGCTTACAGCTGTACAAGAGACTACAAACATTTGTTAATATCACATGCCCTTTAACAGTATGGGGTGATCCACAGTCACACTAAATCACGAATGCATATGTAGGAAGATTTAGAAATGTGCATAGGCTGTCTCAGCTTCTTGAGATGCGCATATTTAGCAACACATTTGACACACACACACAAAAGTGAGAAACAACTCATAAAGCACAGAGGACCTGGAACAAAATTACCACTGAAAAACTCCACAAAATCAGGGAGAGAAGGGGCTATCTAGGTGATATAGGGGTTAGCTCAGCAAACTCCGATTATTAACAAAATAATTATAGCACATTTTCGAAACGCATTTTCCCCAGCCAGTTCCACACTTCATGCTAGTACAATTACTTAAGATGTACCTAGAATGACTACCAAATGTACCATGAGAAAAACGTCAATAGTCTCTGTCCCTCTGTCTCTCTCATCTGAGTTTCTGTCTGCAAGTCTCCCTTTCTCACCCCATTTCCTTCTTCCAAACATGGCATGCCCTTTCACCCAGTCAAACAGCCTCTGTCCTATGATTGTGACAAAACATTTGTGTCTTATAAAATAACGAATTTCCCCAAACTGAAAACTCACTATAAAGATGTTAATGCACAAGAAAACTTTGCTTAACTTTTAGAGGTAATAATCCATACCTTTCTTAATGACAGACTGGTCCAATAGATTCATGCCGCTGTTATTGGCATCTTCAACTGACTGTGAATATAAAAACATCACTATTCAAATTGACTGGATATTAAAGAATAGCACACATAAATCATGTCATTCCAAACTGGAGTTTCTGTTATTTCCATTTATATTAATTCACAAAGGGAGGTTTTATTATTATTATTATTACCTCCAAATAGACATAGAAATGAAATTCACCCAAATTATAAATTCTTCCAGTGGAAGAGAGGGGAAAAGGAAACTGTGAGAGGCATCTGGGATGCAATATTGGTTTAGTTGTTACAACACGATATTACACAGCCATATAAACTTTCATATTTGCTCTTATGAATTGTGAAAATTTGGCAACAGCTGAAAGATTTTCACGAATATTCGTAAGAGCAATTCTCTTTTCTATTCTAACTCAGTGCATCTTAACCACAAAGCCATTTTATAAATACATAATAGTTTACATTATGGGATTTTAATTAAAGTCTGAGCAATCTTGAATGGAATGCAAACAGCAACACATAGGAACACGTTTTCAAGCCGCCAGGACTGCACACCCACTGCAGTCGTACACGTTCCTGTGCGCACGTGAACGTTTTACTGCACAAGGACAATCCCTCCGAACCTGCACAGTTTACTCCCCCTCCTCCCAATCCCGCCGCTGCTGCCTCCCAGCAAGGAGCACACCTGTTAGGAAGGCAGTAACAACACACACGCACGCACGCACACGCACGCCCGTGTCCTCCCAGGTAATTGCAAGAAACATTCATCTTCTGTGCTACAGTTCCATCTCAGAGAAGCAAAGTTTCAACCCTGTGCTTTAGGTTTCAACCGGGAGCACTGGCGGCACTTCTGAGGGAAAATAGCTGTTGGGGTGCGAAACTTACTGTGAGGCTGCACACGAACAGAGTTCTGCCTGTGCATTCCAGGGCATCCAAACAGCGGCGGATTCCTCCCTCCTCCCTCCCCCTCAGTGAAAATGCTAGGTCTCTCTGCTTTCCTTGGTCCTTGGAAACCTAAGCTTTGACCAATTTGTCACCCACACTATAGAGAAGTAAAAAGCAAAGGACTTGAGAGGAAGGTAGTACTTTCACAGCGCCTCCCACCCACTCATGCTGCACTGCCAGACAGGGTATGTGTTCATCACAAGAAAGAGACTGTCTTCCCCAAACAAGCAGTACATTCGAAATGAGACGATCTAATCAGAGAGGGGGCATGATAATTTGTTACTTTTTAATAGTCACTTCTGCTTTCAGAAAGGTGAACAAATTTGTTGTTCTCCGTAAGAACCGTTTTCCATGTTGCAACACGCCATGTATATCTTAAGAAATAGTAAAAAGTTTTTTTAAAAAAATACTTCTTGTTCGAAACTCCCCAGGGGACACACACCCACATTCACACCTTTCTGTGCTCACGTGTCTACAGTGGCGATGTGTCCATGCAGGACAGAAATATTCGCTTGTGTCTGTGGGCAGGCGGACTAGCGCTCACACGGGCCTGGACCGGTGCGCCCTCACGCCTCACCCTCACGTCCGTACGTAAATATGTATATACGCCTCATCAGCGACGTGGGGTAGTTGTGGTAGTTAATGAGAAGGCTCTTGTCTGATTTTCTATCTAATTACGGCCGCCTGCTGGGTTTTTGTACAGGATATTCACGCAGCATGCTGGCGCTTAATCGTCACAGGGAGGATCGTAAAGATTTAATTAGGACTTCATGCGGAAGCGCAGAAAAACAACTCAGACTCGTAATTACTAGACTTCTTTAGTTAAAAGTGATACCAGGGGTTGCTTTAAGACACTAGGGTGTGTTTGAGTTTGTGTGTGTGTGTGTATCTGTGTTGGGGGTTGACTTAACATCTTTATATGGTTATACTCAGGCTGGTAGCGGTGATGGGAGGTTAGAGAGCAAAGACTGGAAGAAGAGGTGTACACAGCAGCTAAACAAATCCCAAACTAGTTGTCATCTATCTCTCCCCTCTTTCTCTCTTTTTTACACTGTTCTTCTGAGTTTTCAACTTTCTCCCTCTACACACACACACACACACACACACACACACACAATGGGTGAAATGTAGCATACCCAGAACCCAAACAGCGATTTTCTAGTTTAATAGCCACTGTGAGTAAATTGAAATAGAAATTGACGGGTTTTATAGTTCCATTTTAAAAAAATATTAGAAGCATTTGGTTAATTAGCTCTTCTCCTCTTCTCTCACGGTCAGGGCGGTGGCCCCGAGAGTGTGCGTCTGGGTCGCATAGCATCTCCCTTGCCCCTGGCAAGGTGATTGCCCCACGCTGGGGTGGCCCACCGACCCGGCAACGCCCTCTGACTCTGTCTGGTCCGTGGCTCAGGTGGATTCGGAACAATGATACACCAAGGCCCTTGAGATCGAACGCCCAGGCGGAGGCACTCTGCTCCCCTTTAAGGACGGGACCGGCAGAGTCAACCCAGCGTAGATGCCAGGAACGTCGAAACCACCCGGGCCGGCTCCGGTAACTTTAGCCCGCGCTCCAGCTGCCTAACTCGAGCGTGAATCCTCCCGACAAAGCAGATGAGGCGCAGTCTCCGGATTTGGGGTCTGGTCCTAGATACATCCCCACCTCCTTCTCTTTGTCACCTGCCCTATGTCACGTCAAGCACACACTGGTCTCAGCAAGTCTGTCATTGAGGCTGAGATGGAGACAGTCCCTCGCTGTCTCCCTACTGCGACTAGCACCGGGTGTATCCCTCACGACCCTTCCAGCGGGCCTCCCTCCTCACTCCACCAGGCGACCTGCCTGGGATGCGGTTCGGGGGGAGCGGGCCAGCCGGAGGGCAGTGGGGCGGGGAGTGGTGCCAAGGCCTGGCTACTTCTATTCTCTCTTGGCTCTCTCCACCTTCGTGGTCTGTATTCCCGACGGCAGCAACTCGGCCCGCCACTCTCTGCTCACAAAAACACTGAATCCTTTCTGAGGCTTTGACCAGAATATCCTCCCAAACGCTCACCGACCTGGTACTGTTTCTCTTCATCCTTCACGTTTGGCCAAACACTTAAAAACCCTGACAATTATATCTCAACAAACAACAAGCAAAAACAACTAAAACTGTTTAAAAACAATCTACTCCCTCTTTTTAGGGGAATTCCTGGGTTGGCTGCTTGAGCCACTCAGCCTGCAGGGTGGTGGTGTCAAGACTGGTGTTAGCTTTATCTACGGTATTGGTGACAAGTTAACCCATCTTCGTTATACAGCACTTTGAGCCTTAATCAGAAAGGCTGATTTAACCCCCCCCCCATCACATATTACCCCCAATGCATTAAAAATACTATTAAATGTGTCTCTTTTATGATATTCCAAAATGAGCAATATCTCTAGACAGGAAGAGTCAAGCTTGGTTAAATCAACAGAACTATCACTCTGATTATGGGTAAATCCGGCCCAAAATCCAGTGATTCATCTTCTTTACAAATAATAACTGTGAATTTCCTTTAAAACAATAAAGTACCATAGACCACACACAGACAGCATTTGATGCTGTCACTACATTTGAACTGTTTAAAAATATATTTTTCCAGCAAGGTAAAGAAGAAGGACTTGTGCACCCTTTTTTATTTCATTTTCCTTTTCTTCAGAAGCATGTCTAAAATGATGCATAATATATACAACTATGCCAATGAGACTGAAGGGTCAATTAAATAGCTTTCAACCGTATTTATCTTTCTGGAGACAATTTAAATCAGAGGAAAAAAAAGGAGACCTGCTCAGAATCACCCAGACAGTTTTTAGGAATCAATTCTTTGATGTTTCTTTGTTTAGTTTAACCAAGTATTCTCGACCAAATCAGGCTCCATTGTGTAGGCTGCAGATGGGATAGTGTGTGTGTGGGTGGGTGGGGGAGTGTTTTGAGCCTTTTGTTTTAAGAAATGAACACGTGATGCCTCCACAACCAGGATAGTGGCATTGGGCAGAGGCGAGTGTTAACGGAGGGGGAAGGTTGGAGAATATCGCTACACAGTCATTTAAGGGACCAAAAATAATTTTAAAAACCTCCAAAAGAGTTTGTGTCCTCATGGATTTCCAACCCCAATTATGGCTTTCTTGGTCTCTTCCCCCACAAATATTCCACTTCTCAGGTGATGATTCTGGAACTCAGTTATCTTGGAAAAGGGCTCTGCAGCCTGTCGGACACTCAAACCAATACCTGGCTTGGAAGAACATAGCGCCTGTCTTTTTTCCATCGTGCACTGTCATGCTTAGCAAAATATTTTCAAAACTAGCAGGAACCTCTAGAGCTCAAGAGGACCTGGCGCTCTATGCTGGAGCCGCTGCCTTCAGGCAGCCGGGTCTTCACCTGCCATGTCAGCGAGGGCAGCCCCACTGTGGGTGTGAATGCTGGGGGAGGGGGGTGTCAGGGTACCACGACGCGCTGGAGAATACGCACGAGTTGGGTAGCCGAGGCAAGAGAAAAACACCTAGCCTTGATTCTGATAATCCTAAACTAGCGAAACACACATACATATATATATATATATATTTTTCCTTCATGATTTAATTTCTAACCTTTCTGGCTTTCCTAACTGGACCCCCAGAAGTCACCACTATAGAGCCATACGCACCTATACACATACACAGTTATATACGTCGTGTCCCACTTGTTCTGTTTTAAAGATGGGAATTAACGCCCCGAAAGAGGACAGAGCTGCCCCTCCCTCGCCCCTCCCCCCTCCTGAGGCGTTCGTTATTTATTTATTGTCCTTTTCGTTTGTTGGTGTGTGGTTACCTGAACGTCTTCCATGCCGGGGTGGCCGAGGCCGTGCAGCGAGAGGCTGTCCCCCATGCCCGCGTCCAGGCCGTGGTGCGCGGAATGCAGCAGCACGTCCGGCCGGCGGACCGAGTGGTAGTCCCTCCGGGGGTCGAGGCCTGAGAGCTGGGGCAGGGCGGCCCGAGGTTGGGGCAGGAGAGAACCGGCTTCCGAGCCCACTTCTTGCCGCTGCCGTTGCCCCCAGGGGTGCTGCTGGGGCTGGTGCAGTGGGTTCAGGGAGTAGGGGTCGTTGACGTGGGAGTAAGGGTCCTGGCTCTGGTGGTAAGGGAGCGGCTGGTAGGGGGGCGGGAAGTAGGGCGGCTGGAAGTCCGAAGACGGCGTGTGGGACAGCGGTGGGGCGCTCGAGTAGGGTCCCTGGGACACCGAGCCCAGCTGGGAGAGCCGCGAGCTGTGGCTCGGGACGCCATCGTGCCGGTCCTGGGAAGCAGAGAGAGGGAGAGCGAGAAAGAAGAAGAAGAAGAAAAAAAAAAAAAAAAAAAAATACAAGCGACAAATGGAGAAGCCCGGCTTCCGTACACTCTTCCCGAGACAGGGGAAGTTGGAGTCTGAAATTTAGACCCCAAGTTGGCTCCGAGGGCCACATGATTTCAGCAATTCCAAAGGCAAGACTTTAGGGAGAAAGAAAATTGTGGGGGGGGGGATCACCCACTTAACCAACATCTGAGCCTTCTAGTGGGAGTGCAAAGCCGGCAAAAGGGGTGAGGGGAAAGGAGGTGAGCGTGTATGGGGGAAGATTCTAAATGCCTTAATTAAAAATTAAGGAGTTCTACATAGGGTATTTGCCCTTCTGGGTGTTTTAAACTATTTCTTCTAACTCTTCCAGAGGCCAAAAGTGAAACAAAACTTCACAGTAGCTAGTGTCCTGCTGCTTCTGCTTAAAAGCCAACTTCTGCCGTCCCTGGCCAGGCAACCGGCTGACCAGGAGCCCCCCACATTACCCAGTAACTCCATGAGCTCCGAGGAGTCGGCCTGACCTAAGTTCTCGGTCACCCCTCCCTCCCCAAGAGGAATTAAATGAGTTGAATAGTGTATGATTGAAACGGATCTCATTCGAAATCATTTCCTGAGCCCGTGTTAAATTAAGTTGGATTGATGTTTGCAGGAGTTATTTCTAATGTTGTTGCTTTTCTATATCCAACGTTATTACACTCCAGGGTGTGACAATGAAGGACCCGAGGTTGGGAGGGGGAAAAAGCCCCAGACAACTTATTTTTGTATCTATCTGGAGTGGGTAACTAAGTGAAAGGAGAAGGAGGACCGATGTTGAGTGTTTTAAATTTCTCCCTCTCTTCTGTGGAAATGCCATGGTAAAGTCCCCAAGGTTCTCTTTGCAGAAACCTAAATTTCCAAAGTACAATGGCAAAAGAAAAAAGAAAAGTTTTCTGTTCGACTTCCCCCTCCCCAGCTGACTCATGGAGCTCAGACAGAGAACACAATGCAGAGAGAAGCAGCTGCAGCCTCGTCCAATTATGGTGCTAAATTACCAAGCCAAAGGCACTCAAAGGAAGACAGAGAAGAGACGCAGAGAGGGAGACACACACACAGAGACAGAGAGACCGTGAGAGGAGGGAGCATGCAATTCTGGTACAACGTGAATCCAGACTCACCATGGATGAATAGGTGTGGACTAACATCTGGAAAAAAAAGCCTGGTTACTGCTCAAAAATCAAACAATGATTAAAAAAAAAAATCAAGGAGTCCAGCAGAGAAGCGAGCTGGACACAGGAGCTGAGCTTGAGGTGTTTCCAGGACAAGCCATCAAAAAAAAAAAAAAAAATTACCCCCCCCCCAACAAGATTGGCAATGCCTGTCACACACAGAGCTATTCATTGACTGTCTCTTGCTGTCTTTTTGGCCTCTTTTCTTCTGCCGTTCTTCGGGGCTCCAGATGCAGTCCTCTTCCACCCGAAGCTGGGCTCAGACTGCTCAGGCGCCCCTTCCTCCCTCCGCTTGCCTACACCGCCTCATAATAATTGATATTCATGACTATTAATATTACACGAGTACTTTAAAGGGAGAATGGAGGACAAATGGAGCGTGAAGCAGCAGCGAGCGCAGAGCTCCCCTACTATTGTAAATGGCGTTCATTCAGTGGAGAATTACTAGATGTAATCAGACGAGGGGCTGGCAAAGGCAGACTGGGGAAAAAGTTTAGCAGGAAAGAGGCAGAACTTGAATTAACTGAGCTGGGGACACGCGTAGAGCAGCCCCTGCTCCTTTGCACTGCGCAGGCAGCGAGAGCAGCGCTAGGAGCTTGTACAGAACGGAGATGTCCTTCTTGTACCTGCCGTGAGACTTTCCTAACGGGAAGAGTTGATCGCCCTGGGTGTTTTGTGTGCAGGTTAAGAAAACAAAATTAAAAAGGCGTTACCTTATCATTTCGAGGGGAGAGAAAAGTAAACCGGTGGGTCCCGGTTGCTTACACTGACGTTTGTAGACTTTTCCTGAATGTAGAGATTGCACTTATTAAACGACAGGGCCGCGATGGGGGCTTTTCATCCCTTGTAGAGACTTCCCATCTTTAATGCTCACGCAGCCTGAGATTTCTACCTCCATTTAAAATATATGTAATCAATCTTCATGTACACTAAACTTATCCTTTCCAGGCAAAGCCAGGGGCAACAGAAAACCTTTTTGGATGTTTCAGGAACCCGTTCAACTGGCCTGACTGCCATTTCTGTTAAAGTTCAACCTTCCTCCCGACTTAAATAGGCTCCTTCCACCGGTTCTCCTGTTTTCTGAGCAGAAAATTTAGGCAAAACAGGAATACCTGTAATTTTCTCTCTCTCTCTCTCTCTCTCTTTCCTTCCTTCCTCTCTTCTCTCTCCCTCCCCTTTTTCTCCTCATCCCGACTCTACCCCTCCCTGTTCCTCTCTCCCTCTCGTCTCTTCTCCCTCCCTTCTCTCCTCCCTCCTTTCTCATTTAGCCAGTTTACTTTTCATAATCAAAGAACGAGTTTTATCCTGATTAATTTTAGAACCCCCGAAATGTATACCCTGAGCTATTTACACAGTGGCATCATCCCCACCAGGGTTGTGCCCACTTCGGGCACTCACACATTCTTCTAGCTCCTTCGACTTTACCATTATCCTGCCTGTTAAGGAAAGAAAAGAGGCAGAACCGAAACAAACCCCACCAGGCGCGGAGGCGCGGCTTTTCCTTACAGTCAATACACTGCCACAAAGAGGAAGGAAACCCCCAACTATCATTCCACAGAAAGACGAAATCTTTCTTTCTCTAACACACACACACACACTCCAAAATCAGGAGCCAAATTCTGGGCTGGCCAGGGCCGCGGGGCCCTGGGCCCCGGCGCTGCCTGCGGGACGCTGCCGGGAGGCGGCGGGCCCTACGCCAGCACTATGGAGCCCCAATCTGTCCTGTAGGACTGGGCCAGCGGCGTCCAGCAGGACCTTGCCGGCCACTTCTGAGTGTTGCCCAGTCCTTGTGTCCCCTAGTATCTGCAAGACGGCTTCCTGCCGGGCTTTTTGGATTTGTTCGGGAGCCGCGGGATCGCGTTTCCTCGCCGGCGGGTTTGGGAGCCTCTGGGCGTCTCATCCCGACTGCTTCGTGAGACCCAGGGCTGCCCGCGTCCAGCGCCCCGGGAGTTTGCTTTCCTTCCCTCCTCCTCTCTCCAACTTTTCCTCTTTACCGTCTCCATTGCCCCGCTCGCCCGCTTCGACCTCCCCCCTCCCCCGCCTCCGTAACTCCTCTTCGCTTGTTCTTTCTCTTCTCTCGAAGCTTTTCTTCCTCTTTTCCCTCCCTCGACGTCTCTTCCCAGCCTTCGCTTTCCCACCTCCCCTTGCACCTAATTCGCGTTCTCCCAGGCCATTCGGCTCCAGAGCGAGGTTCCGCGGACCCCGCGGGCCGTCCCCTCCCTGGTCCGCAGCTCGCCCCGCCTGGCGCCTGCCTCGCCCGCGAGCAGACGAGCCACCCCGCCGCCGCATCCGTCCGCGCGGGAGATGGAAACCCGCGCCGCGCGCGGTCTTGGCCGCAACCAGGCGGCAGGCGCCGGCAGGGCTGGGCGCAACTTCTCTCGCCGGAGGAGGAGTTGCGCCAAGCTTCAGCCCTGGAAAACCTGCGCACTAAACGTGGGCAGAAAATTTCGTTAAAAATGCCAAAACATCGGCTGGCTGAGATAGCTGTTTGGACGCACTAGCCCTCAAAAAAGCAAAACACACGAAAAAAGAAAATAATAAATTTTCTTCTACGGCTTCTTAGCTTGTGCCCTCTCTACATTCATCTATATCTATCTACCTATTTACCTATCTATCTATCTATCTATCTATCTATCTATCTATCTATCTATCTATCCATCTATCCATCTATCTACTCTGTATCTATCTGTCTTCCTCTAATTTTCCGTTCTCTACTTGGATCCGTTTGTTATTGATTTCGGAAATTTTATTGAAAATAAAAATTAAAAGCCTGAGACTGTTACGGATGAGGCTTGAAAACCCAATTCTCTCCCACGCTCTAAACGGGGAGTGCTGCTGCCTTAACCATAGTCTCTATTTTCTCTAACAGTCTGCCCACTAACCCTGCTAGAGCCTAAAGGGGGGGAGGGGTGTTGAGGGAGAATTAAAAATAAAAGAAAAAAGAAATATGCTAAGTTAAAGTTGCCAGAATTCAACCTTAAAGTCTTTTTTTTTTTTTTTTTCAGAATAGCGAAGTCTCCCCAAGCCAGCTCTTCTTAAAGTTAGAGAAAGCTGAGAAAACCGACCGGAAAACTGCGAGTAAACAGCTTAAAAATGTGTATCAGTTGGGGTGCCAGGAAGCTCAAATTCTCTATCTGCAAAGCTCTAAGATGCATCTGGGGGTGTCGGCTCACCTCATAGATATCTTCGTACTTGACATTCTCCACGAGCTTCCAGAGCATGATGGCAGCCTGGTCTCTAGGAGGTGAGTGCATTCATGTGAGGAGCAGATGTCTGGCTTCTCAGGACTCCGCTGTCTGTAATGATCCATCTATAATTGGAAATGGGGGATACACACCAAATCCGACGCTCCTCTCCCATCGCAACTTATATCTGTTGTCTCAAACAATAGGCTGGAGAAGTAAGCCTCAGCAAAGAGAAAAACATTATTGCACACGCAGGAGTTAGATGCAACCCACAGACATATATATTATAAAAACGATAAACATGTATTTACACCCAGACACCCACATTTAGTTATATAAGCACCCCTGAGTCAAACAGCATCTACAGACTCTAAACGTGCATTTGAAAGAGAGATAGTTGTTCAGGGTGATTAATACAATATATGTATATATATACACACACATTTTAAAACCTCTATGTTGAAAATGATGAATCATTGTAGCCACAGACTAAAGTCTTTACTATTTATAATGAAAGACCAGGCGGCCATCAGTACTCTATTTTCTATGGAGATTTTAAAAAGAGGACCATTACTGGGATTTTTTAACACAAAAGCTCCTGTTCATGTGTGTTTAGGGGGAGGGCATTTTGAAAGCTGGATTTTGGACTTTTAAGGGTGATCTCTCTGTGTTGATGGCTACATGGCCTTTTTTTTTTTTTTTTTTTTTTTT